AATCACTTTTTTTGCTTTGTTTCTGTTATATGTACAAAGTACGGTGACTTGTAGGTCCATGAGGTCGGGTGATTTGTATATCTATACCACATGTCACGTTAATAAATAAACACTGAATGCATTTTAGCGAGAATACCCCTCAGCATTGGCTCGATTCAGCTGGTACGATATTTGAATCTAAACGCGGTTCTAAAGCAAATAAATCTAGTTGTGTAAACTACAATTAGACCGGTTGAAGAACAAGTAACTGATCATATTTGCCAAGCTTACATGTCCACTAATTAATTCACTAAATTAAATGTTATATTCAGATCAGAATTCCACACCGCCACCAGCGAGATTCTTCGGTCTTTCTCTCCGCCTGGGAGACCAAGACAGGCAAGAGGTGATGACTTCTCAACTAGGGTGGGAAAACGAACAGCAATAATCATGAATAATGAGGATGATAATGAAAATTGCATTTAGATAAAAAAAAATTGTAAATTATTACTTCATTAATTCTTTCCCGCATTTGCCATGATACTATTCTGATGTTATTTTTGTCAGAAGTTTTTTCCCGACTTTATGAATGTTAGCTGCCGCCCTGAACCGTAAGTTGTAAAACCATACGTGTATATACAGTGTACATCTGAACAAGTGCCTTTTTTTCCAGCCTGTAGATCAGCAGATAATGTGCCCCCCTGGTTTTGTTCCTGATGCCCAGGACTGCCGCCCCCTTATGTACAATTTCACGGTAGTGCGATCGACCGTTCTCTTACGTTTTGAACCATGTGGCTGGGTTCCAACATCCAGAGATGGCTGTAGAGATATAAGACGTGATGTGCGATTGGGAGCTGTACTGAGAGCTGTGCAGGCACTTATTAGTACTTGTAATCTGATGCATGGCGCGGATAACACGTCCATCACCTTTGTCGTACAGACAGTGGTCACTGTTCGCGTAAGACTAGCCCACTACGAGGAAGTTCGCAAGATTTTTGACCAAGTACAAGCATGGATGGAAAATGCTCTGCAAAACGTGCAGTTGGAGATATCCGGAGGACCAGTGGGTATACGCTTAGGGTCGTTCTCTGCCTGCATGAAGACCGCCGCAAACCACAGCTCCGTTACGCCATTTCATGGGGCTTCCACGCTCTCAACCCCGAGACAGAGCCGAGGAAATGTACCTGTTGGTATTGCTAGAGTTTGGTTGTTAATGGCGATGGTGGCAGCGGTGTGGGATTTCTAACTATATGGGTAAGACCATATAAAGAATGATATAGGATTGGGCACTACTTTGGCTTATCAATCCATAAATGGATATCTAATGTTTTCCTTGTTGTTTTGTAATGCATCGTTTTTAATTATAATCAAGTTTTAAAAACATGTACAGTTTTACTATTAAGCAAAATTTATCTCAAATAGTTATGTGGACGCCATGACCCCCTCCAACAAGATTCTGTTTTTGCCCTTTGATTTTTTTTTTCGTTAGTTAACAACATATCTCAATAAGTTATAGGCCCGTTTTGATTTACTTTTCAGGATTAGAAATGATACAGCTTAGAAGCGATTAGATGTTAGTGGCTGTTGTTATTTGATTAATTAACAATGAGAATTGTTCCGTCTTGGAGGAGTCTTGCACTCTCCGAGTGCGTTTTAGTTTGGTTTATCAAGACGCTGTATTAGTATTCTGTATTCAGTTAGAATAATACATGCAGTTGGTTAGTGCTCTATACAAGAGGCCATATATCAAAGGCCCTACATAACGTCTTGCTGGACAGTGCAGGAAAGTGTGTTGAATTAGCCAGAGGCATATATTTGTGAATTTCTAGTGAAAAAAATCAATCTGTGGTCGTGGTAGAGGGTAGCAGATTAGCTTGGGTTCTCTTTTTGATTCATTTGATTTACTTTTTAAACAGTCACAGGTCTTGTGGTGCATGGCTGGTATTATAATTTAGTAAATTGTTCTTTGTGAGATAATTAGCTGTAAATTTGTTATAAATTTGATAAATAACAGTTAGACGCTTTTAAGGAACAAAGGTTGATGATTTGCAAAAGGCAATTTCATGTACACGTAATTACACTTTCTCTTCTTTTTTTTCAGAGACTGACTATATTGTGTAAATTATGTCATCCAATGTACATAGTGCATGGTTTTATGATTAATCGATTATATGAGGGTTAGTGTAAGATATATCGATTAAGTGTGTAAGATATATCGATTACATTATTTTATATAAATTAACCGTGAATTATAGTGGGAGGATATTTATATAAATCTTGGTATACGGTTTTCCGTGCGATATTTTGACATCATAAATGGCTACGGCGAATATTTTTACATTACCCTCGAGAGCCGTGCCTTTTTTCCGACATGACCTTGAGGTCAAGTAAAAAGATTTTTCGGTTGAAAAATGAGGATACGATGCCCTTTCAGTCTCAGTGCCTTCTGCGTTGTCGGTGCAGCCCCATGTACGATTTTTAGCACCCATGTGGTCAGAATAAGGAATCCCACCACTTCATTTTCTCCTAGATAATTAACGCTAAGTTATTAACAACTTAATTTTATTTACCTAGATTATATTTGCAATGCAATGACCGCACGTTACACATATACTGCCGTGATCACTTTTCTGTCGGCGTCTGGGCGAAGGTAGACGGTGCGAAATCGTGCGGCCACCACAGGCTCTGACATTTTGTCAAGTCAAATTTCTTGACAATTTTTTAAAATTGCAAGCCCGTATGGCAATGCGCAGTTGCGGTTGACTTGCTGAGATGGTGATAATGGTGAAACCTGTTGTTGGGTTTTTTTTCCCTTTCGGCTTCAGTGGTTTAGGGGGAATGACAACAGTTTCTCTCTATCTTCACGTATCTTGTCTTCGTAGAACGTTGACTGTCATGAATCTCCACTGTACAGGTGTTTAAGACTGTGTTATTCACTCGCATAAATTTAATTTTTTTTTTTCGACCCCGGATGAAAAAACCGTAAGGGCGCAGCTGCATCGTCAACGTATCGATCTTCAAACTAAAAGGTTTATGCCGTACGGAAGGCAGCGAAGTTAGTCCGTGTTATAGAATCCGATGACTGTTTTTAAATGTTGTACATGTAATATCAGGGCCATTAACTGGAGCTGTATATTTGTCATGTTGTAAAGAAAAAGGTTACGGTTATCGTTTTATTAATCGCAAATTAGCAGAATTTAATTGGAATTCGATAAACTAAAATTTCGAAAGTTACTAAGTTCAAGTATAATTCTATTAGGAAACAACTACCTGTACTACGGAAATTCCCTTCTGTATTAGGCAGGAATGGAAATTATTTAAAGTCTCAAGGATTGGGTTAATTGTTGGTTTCACAACCAAAAAGAAAAATCTCATGACGTTAATAACGCTGGACGATTGCAATTTGAATGCATTCCCAGTTTGTTGAAATAAAATTTAATACAATTCATTTTGGGTTTGGAAAAAAATAAAAGTGGCCTTAACTGGCCTAAAACCAGTTAACCTATATATATTGCGTTTGTGATTTTATGTCGTTAATTGAACTTAAGGGGGGGGGCGAGATGATAAAGGTATAATATATTTTAGATACGCAGTTTAGTTTGATAAGGCGTGAAATAATGTCAAAGTGGAAGTTGGATACTTGAATGATATATGGAACCAAAAGGAATTTTTTGAAGCTGGAAACACAATGTAACCTGAATGTTTCTATTACTGGCATGTATCCTTTTACAAGTGAAAACATCCTTCAAAACTTCATTATACTAGTACTATATGGTTTGTCTATTGTACTGGAACCAGTACATGTACCAGTACATATCTTTACACTGATTCAGGCAACGACTATAATTAATCCAGACCCCCCCCCCTTCGATTTCTGGTCCCCTCTTGAAATGAGAATTTTGACTTGTTGAATCATAGTTCTAAACCGAACCAAATGGCACCGTTCGCTCTCTAAAATACCAAAAATTTTCGGGGCCCTTCATCGGGTCCCAAACCCCACGCCAAGTGTGTGTGTGGGGGGGGGGGGGTCAACTTCGCATCCGCCCGCACTATCAAATAATCCTGGATACGCCCCTGCACATCACCGTGGTCGTAGAAAGGATGTCGGATGTTTTAGTCAGATGTTTGCTCAAGCACCTTTTAGGACAAGCCTCGAACCAGCAACTTATTAAGTGGCAAACACTGGATACATTTGACATTTTACTACAAGGATTATTTTCTTTTCAATAAATTTGCACATTACTAAGTCCAAACGTATTGAAATGTGTGTGTGTGAGAGAGAGAGAGAGAGAGAGAGAGAGAGAATTTCGGAGACTGTCAGAAAATATCTCTGGATCCGCCCCTGTTGTAGCCCTACTTCTATGGTTTTTCTCGGGTTTTAAACACAACATCACACAAATTGCTGTAAACCGTGTTGAATGATCATATCGCAATCTTAATTGGGAAACGCACTGAACTTGTAAAGTATTCTATATCAAACATTGTTTGTATTTTTTTCTCAAAGCTGCTCAACAATAGCAAAGGATAGTGTCACTCAGTGCAGTTTATTTTTACAGTAAAAGTGTTAAATTACACGGTGTCAAGGTAGTCCCATTCCCATCCCAATTTAGTCCCATCGCATTGAATAATGTTGATATACCAGTATGCACTTCTGATATCGTCTTATATTAACAGTATATAGTTCTTCTAAAACAGAAAAAAAGTTGAAAGCAAATGAAATGTGTTGCGGTTGCAAAATGCGGTGCGGCTGCAAAATGCTGTGTTGTTGCAAAATGCGGCTCCACTAAAGCTGGTTGCAAAATGCTTATTTCCCTTTTATTTGGTTACAAAATGCGGTTGTTTGCAAAGTGCGGCTGTACATCGTTTCATCTTTGAAAAAATCAATATGACCATTTTACCGGCAACTATGTATTTCAGTTTTCATGAATAAGTAAAACCGATCCAAGAAAAAACAAATCTTTCAGTCTTGAAAAAACTCCAGTAGTAATTATTTTATACAATCGTTTAAAGCCAGTCATGAAAAAAAAAACACAAATAGTAATTATTTTTATTACAGGTACAATAAGATTAAAATTCACGACATTCACATCACCGCCACATAGATGCAGAGTTTCAGGAAGGATGAACCATGCATGATAAGATCTATCAAAATAATCATGCAATTTCGGTCAATTTGAAGTTTGTGTGTGTGAAACATGGCTTTGTTGATCTCGAATGCTGGGCCCGCCATTAATTTCACCTATCAAACCCACCCCACCCCTGTCCTCCTGTGAATAAGTTCAGTCATATCAAAGCTTAAAATATAATATACACTGTATCAAATAATGATTATCTCTTTTCTTTTGAACCGCTATTTCCATGAACATTTGATGTCGAAGTTGCCTGTTTCAAAGTGACTCCAGCGCTCTACTGCTTCGTTGGATAGTACTCATCTGGGGCGTAGGGAGAGTACTGCAATAATGGAGGAAAAGATATTCACAGTAACATAACAGTGATAAAAAACTGCATGTAGACTGATGGTCTGATATCATATTTAAGTACCTCCATGCCACACGATCAATGGTTGGCTGCTTATTGATTCTATTCGTAAACTGGCTCTACTAGTATATCTTAAAACCTCACAACAATCGCGAGTTTCGAGTTGTGAAGGCGCTATAATAATCAAACACCGACTCGGATGCCAATCAATTAACGTCTAATGTAAGAACTCAAACCAAAAGGCAAAAATGCAAACACGAAACAAATGTTGTGAAATCACCTACCAAGACCTTCACAGTGAACTGAGCGTGCGGCCCTTCCCTCGTGTTACTGGCTGCCTTTAGAGCGCCCTCTGGCTTAATGCCGAGATGATGGTCGCTTTCCTCCATGGAGCCAAACGTGTAATAATCGCCATGTTTTCTCACAATTAATTTCGACTCACATCCTAGCTGTGCACCGGGGGGCTGGGGGAAACAATAAATTGGTTAATTAAACCCATAATTTCTTATAATCGCTCAAATTAAAATTTCCCTTTTTTATTTTCACTGATCATTACTATTATTATCGTTTTTTCTTTCTTTTTCTCTTTTTCTTCTTAGTTTTTGTAGACATGTTGAAAATCTTGAATAAACTGAACTTAAGGAGTTGTATGTTTTAATAATAATAATAATAATAATAATAATAATAATAATAATAATAGACGGAGGTAAATTAAAATCTTCGGCTATCTCACAGTTCTATTGCGATTTTTAACAAGGTTTAATATAATCAAATAAAAGGGGGCATATCGTTTCAAGCATTATATGCTCTCCTTCATGAATTAAATGACGATGCAATGCTCTGTATTCTAAATAAAACAGCTGGTGTGGTCACTTACATAATTAACTATCATAGTTTTGCCGTCTACTATTACGATATAGTTGTTACAGTTATGAAGTCGGATGACGTCTTTGTCTTCCTTCACCACGGTCCAGTTGGCTGAAATCAAAATAGTTTAAGATAACACTGCGCTTTGGGCTAATATAATGGCACATGTAAAAGATGTATGAATAAACATTTCTTATTGTAAATAAATAATGTCTAATGGCTATTTATATACGTCTCTGCTTACATATACACCTATATATACCTAATGGGAATTTGATGTTGGAAGTTTGGCTTACGTGTAAACTAAAAGCTGCGGGGATTCAACCTCATGACATAGACTCTACGTGATAGAAACCTCGAAATGAAATAATTTAAGATGTAAAAAATCAGATGCTTTTGTTTGTTGGTGCATGATTATGATATGCACATATTTTTTTCTTCATTGTTAAGGTGTAGAATGGCGGGTTAGAGGTTTCTGCCGCATTTTCACGGTGCGAAAGCTGCACTGTAGGCGTAGAGTATATATAATTATGACTAAAATGGTAAAAATGTGTCTGCGGACTAGAAACGCGGTATTCAAAATGAAAAAAAAAAGAACAGTTCTAGTGACAGTTTTAAGACAGGGACGTTCCTGTGTACTGCCTGTACGGTAATATAATGCGGGAAATGGCGCCACGAATCTACGCGGTGCCACGTAAACACGATTCATATATGATTCACATATTTCACGTAAAATCAAGCAGTCCCGTTGATCGGTTTAATGATGAAATTTTCACGGCTGCCGAGTGGTATGTCAATTGGTTTATATCCAAGAATTTTAACAGATTAAAACGCAGAGTAATTCAATAGTACAAATAAATGAAACAGAGTTGAGCGAGGACGTCATTTCACGGGGTAGATGGTAGTATTGGCAGCTACTTTGTAGATAACAAGATGAAACGGAACAAAACTGAAACAAACTAAACAAATAAGTAAAAACCGAAACAAGATGTTAAAGGAAAATGAAACATAGAGACTGAAGAAAAAAGTAATAATTAAAAAACTAAAAATATTTAATACAAATGCAGGACATACCATGCTGAAATTGCGCCCCCTCCGGGCCCATGCCGTCAAGCATAAGTTGGCCGTCTGCACCGCGGACTATCTCCAGCGTCTTGGAGCTAGATTTTGACACGAGCTGGACAATATTTCCCGTCTTAAATTCTGCCATGTTGACTGTTTTCTCTCCTGTATCCGGTGTATCTTGTGTTTCTTCGCTACTTTCGTCTCCGCTGTCAGTTTCGACAGGATTTTCTTCTTCAGTAGTCAGTGAAGATCCCATATAAGTATCTAAACGCCAAATCAACGGGCGCTATTTTATAGACGGTTAAGTACGATGAGGCACGCGCTTATGACAAATGCGATTTTCGATATCGATGAGCTCACCTGATGAGTGACTAAGACTGCAGCTGACGACACGCAGAATATGGAACCTTCTGGCAAAAGACATGCGGGATTCGTCAACATAAGTTTAATGAAATCACTGAATATTTTATAAATTAAATGTTCGTATGCCATGTCCTATGCGACAGCTGATTCTGCATTTTTCATCATGAAATATAGCAATATGGAAAAACGGATTTTTTACTGAATTTTAAAATATGATGAAGTTTGTACAGTGCACTTCATTTTATATGCTGAACAACCATTTACCCTTAAGCTCATAGCAAATCTTAACAAAAACAAAACAAAACAAAAAAAAAAAAATAATAATAACAGTTTCAAAATAAATGATGGTAATAATCACATGACCAGTTTCACTTTCACTGAACCATTGCATGCAAAACATTTTTCTTATGTATATTTCTCTGCGTGCAGCTTCCCGCTTATCCAAAGAATTGACTTTTTTGCTTTTCCGTTTGCACTTTTGTTTACATAAAAATATTCATCTTTTCCCAAAACAGCGTGAACAACTTTTTAGGCTAAAAGGTGCAAAATGACAACATATAAAACAGTGAGATCCTCGGATTTTTTTCCCTGAACTGTGAACTTTCAAGTAATTTTACGAATTGATCAACTGCATTCATAAATCAATTTTTTTTTTCAAAACACAGTTCTTGAAATTGTTTTTCAGAATATATTGTGATGTCCTTAATGCCTTTTTAGAATATTAGATGTAAAGTATCCAACTTTTAGATACAAAATCAAAAATCACCATAATCCGTGGCATCTGCCATTTGGGCCTTTTCTTACTTATTTTCAACAATAAACATATAAATCCCTTAAAAACACTTTATTGGTAAGACTACAGTACAGTGTATATACATTTAAAGAGATACATGTATAACATCTAACTACCGGTACTTGTATCTGTAGTAGCAATAGACAAATTAAAAATAACAATAATGTAACAATGCACTGTAGACAGAAACATCCTTCTGACATTTCATTAATAACTGCACTCAAATGACCAATAAATACGAGGTTTATTTGCAATTTTCAAGCAGTGATTGGCATAATAATAAAATCACTCAGAATAGAAACAATCAAATGATCCAAATGTTTACAATCACTACACCCCAGTAGTATCACATGCAGCAGTACCTTTAGACCAGCTATAAGATTATGAATTATAACCATTAACAACAGTCATCACTTTCAAGATTTAAGATTTAAGAAAATCTCCTACCTTCTTTAGCAAAAATAACTTAATTAATTAATTAAACCAAAAAGTAATAAATAAATTTATTAATAAGGATAAAATTGGAAGGCAGTAATTAGTTATTCAAGCAAATCCTTGTGGTAAAATGTATGATACTTTTATGTACATGCGTTCCAAAGGCATATCCTGCAAAGCTACTTAATATGACAATTTCAGAGCTTTTAAATAAGACCCCTCAAATTTAAGTATTTGATATTGATATTTTCTTCTAAAATGTCAGGAAGACTAGTTTGTAATGGTAAAAAACACTGAATCCAATTGCAGGGTTGGGTCAGGCAACTGTCAGCAGTTGAAAACACATTACATAAATAATTCAGAAAAGAAGAAGTCTATATTCCTTAATACAGAAGTCTTGAATGGTCAGTGTTCATTGTTCTTTATGCTGAGAATCAGAGTCACTTTTCAAGGACAAACTTCATGTATAACATTTGGTTTAGACCAAAAAACTGTTCACTGACAAATCTTTGAGAGTATGAAACTTGATTCTTTCCACCTTGGGCTCACTCAGTATTCTGAAAGCAGCAGCAGATCTGGGCAGGATAACATCTTCCATTTTCTTTCAGTTTCACTTTTTCTGTGGTGCTGGTGGATATGGGGAATACTATAACAGAAAAAAAAATTTAAAATGAGTCATGGTACCTTTATCAAATTAGTTGACTAATATTTCAAAACATATCATATATAAAATACATATTCTAACTACACAAATCATGTAATCTATACATATTAACATCAAAACCTATAATAAGATGCTGGATGACATTACTCCATACACAGAGACATTAAATGTGGATTGTACCAGTAATCAAACAGGAAGGTATAAAACAGTTTTCATTAAAAACGGATGAGATGACAAAAACTATTTCTGATGACATCCCTAAAATCGATCTAAGGACTGGTTATATAGAGATGTTCTGAGTGTCATTATTGACATGTGTATCTTAGACAAACAATGGTGAGAAAGCACTGGCATCTCTGTTAACTCAGGTGAAATACAAGATGCATATGTCTGCACTAATAAATGTTTCATCACTGCAACATATTAAGTGGCTGGCATCAGTAATAGTCTATACATCTAAAACCTGATTCACAACCAAACAGTCATGCTTTATTACCAACACTTCAGTACAGAATTTACAACTTATCTGAGAATAATAAAATTTTGTCTTCATCAATGCCAAACAAGTGCACAATCAAGATCTTCAAGATGCTAAATATTTAACAGGAATATCTCGATTTTTCTTTCTTTTTGCAAGTTTTGAAATAATTGAAGTGTGGATCCTTAAAGGATCTGGTATGCAAGTATTGGTGGAAGGACCATTTAATTTCAGCCTGCGACATTAGTCACTAGTCAGTAAAATTTTGTGACCAGTATTTTTGAGTGTCTCCATGGATGAAAGAAGATTTGACAAAGTCAAGGTCTAGTCGTTACTAGTACTAATTTTTAATAGGGTTAAATGTCTGATCTGATTAAAATTTTATTTGGACAAGTGGACCAGTAGATTTTAGAAAACTGGTGGTTTGAAAAGCCAATAAACTGAAAAGATCACAGCAAAGACTGTAATTTAATTTTACTTACTTTAAATTTCAATTGCTTTTATTCAGGGGAATGAAATTTGCCTTTTTGCTTTGCATTAAAGGCAATTATTTAGTTACTGTAGTGAGTAAATACTATATAAAGGATGCTTCATGCAATTTCAAGACACTGAAGACAATATAATTATATCCCACCCAGTCCCTTTACAATTTTAGCTCATTGACAAACCATACAAGGGCAATTTCACATTAAGCACTCAGAGTTTCATGGGACAGCATAGCCTCTGACATTTCCAGATACTGGTAAATGTATCCATCAGTGCCTGAGGAATGCTGATAGCAGAGGGGTGAGTTCCCAGTGCCCTCTGAAACTCAGGGTGACAGGAAGAGATGGAGGGACACAAGCCTTAAACTTCATTATTTAAAAAAGCATAATGACTGAAAGTAATTTCTTCTGTGATATAATATCACCTACATAGTATTAATACAGTATGCCATTTTATGCAACAAAACATTAGACTTACAACAAGTCGTACTCCAAACTGTGCATGATCTTCCTTCCCCGTCGCTAAGGCAGACTTTAGTGTGCCATCTGGCATCACTCCAATGTGGCGGCCAGGTTCGTTGACTGACTCAAATGTCACAAAATTTCCAATCTGGACCACCCTCAGTCTGGTTTCATTGCCAAGGTGGGAACCTTGGGGCTACAAGTACACAAAAAAAGATACTTCATTGATTTAACAAAGTTAAGGTGTAAACAGTATAATAAAATAGTCTGTACATATTAATTAAACTTTCATTTTTATCACTAGGATTTATTAGTTGTCATTTTGTTATTTCTTCAAACTTAATTGAATTTTCAACTGGGATCACACCTAACACAATACTAGTGTGCCTCACTTCACTGTCACACCTAACACAATATGTGATAAAATCAGAGCAACTGCTATCACCATAATCCCTATCAAACAATTCCAATAGGTGCATACAGGGGAGAGTACATCAGGAAGACACTTTTTGAGAAACTGGTTCCAGTGTGAAATCTTCTAGAGATTCCATTTTAACCCTGCTAAAACATGAGTATTTATTATAAAAAGGACAAACACATATGGATATCATGGTAGAAAAGAAAGTGTCAGTTAAGTACTGGTGACATCTACTCACTCCATGCCAATATCACGTACTTGTATTAGTACTACATGTAGACTTGAGTAGAGGAAATTGCATTCAGTTAACTCCAATTACAAATTTCACATCCCACAAAGAGGGCTCCTGCAGGTCTAGGCACTGTATCGACAAGGACAGTTTCCAGGATTTGCCTCAACTATATCTTAACCAAATGACTTATATGTATTGATTTACACCCTTAGCAGGGAAGTTGATGAAATGCACTTCCAATAGAAATGTACAATGTAATAGGCCACTGGCTGTCTTACATGCAGAGCACAATGAAACAATGAATTATAAAATGAAAGGAATGAAAGATTTAGTCTGGTAAACTGAAGATGGAAGTGTCTTGAACATGACATTCAAAACAAAACCAGCAGAATTTAAAGAGATACAAATTGCAGTTAAAACACTATTAAGAGATGAGGTTAAAACAAAGAAGCCTAGCGGTCATCAATGCAGTGAAATATAACCTATCAGAAATGTAAAAAGAGTTAACCACACTGAAAGGAAAATTAGTACATGTAGATCTACAAGCAAGAAGTATGCCTTGTATTCACAGGTTTACTGGTAGGTGAAATCGACAAAGAAGACAACATGGAGATTTCTTTGTTAACTTTCTGCAAGAGATGATGAAGATGGAGCCATATCCTTGGCATTCTTACTTTGTTTTTACAACTTGTTTCATTGAAGATAACACCAAACTACTCACAAAATTGACCACCATGGTGCTTCCATTGATAATACATAGATAATTATAGTTGTTGTGGAGGCGCACTATCCGGTTGCCTTCATTTATTACTGTCCAATGGCCTAAAAACAGAAGAAAAAAATAATTAAACAGCACAACATAAATACATGTACATCAGTGATAAAGGAATTCAACATAGATCTCTAAAAAAATTTGCTTAAAATCGAAATCATCCACAAACACTGCTAAAATTTAAATTATAAGTGAACCAATCTTCCATACTTTGTTTAAAGGGTCAGTGGGCAGTTTCTTTTATTCCTTATTTAAGATATTTACTTCTTATCTACTGAAGATATATAGAATTTAATCTGAAGTCTATCATTTATTTGGATAATTATTATTAAAAGCTGCTTCTGCATGTTTTTTTTTTTCTAATTTTCATCATATTATCCATAATATTCTATTAAAAGTATACATAAAAATTTTACGATGGAGACGACATTACATCATCCTCACCAAGATATAAGTTTTGGAATATTCTCAGGCATCTGGTTCAAGTAAAATAAAAATGAACTTTAAAACTGTTGGATGATGAGGCAAAGTGCTTTCAATTGTAACTCTAAACAGACTTTTTAACTCAGTAATAAAATCAAAAACAGCTATCTGTTAAATAATTTTGGACATTGGATAGTATTCAGAAATGTATTCTTGAGGAGATCTTACTGTTATATCTCTGTGGATCATCTGGACCTTGGCCATCTACAATAAGTCTGCTGTCAGGTGACATCACAATCTGAAGTGTCCTTCCACTAGCACGAGAAATAAACTGGAGAATGTTGTTTGTTATGAAGTTATTCTGAAAGGAAAATGTAATAAAAAATTAATATATTGCATCAAAAGCCTCTAGATTGGTGGTATTTAAGAGCAGGAAAAAAGAAACTAAAAATTGGAAAACTGCCCGACTGACTGGTGGGTACAGGTGATCTTGAAGGCATCCAATAACATGACATGTATACATCGGGGATAAAAGAACTCAACATCTCTACCAAATTTTGCCAAAACAAAGTATACTGTGACACCTACTCAGGCTTTACACTCATGTGCATGTACCAATACAGCAAATTAAACGAGTGGATGTCACATATACATCTTTGCTGGCATACCTGACTCATATTACAACTATGTATATAAAATTATTTTTCTTGAAAGTCAGGCAATGTTTTATGCATATTTACAAAGTAATACATCTGATATAAAATCACTCCTTCATCCTAATATTTGTCTAAGTACCTCTTAATGAGTAAAACAAATTTTAATAAAATAATTACTAAGAAAAAACAATGTTAAGAAGAAAGAAAAATGATGCTTTGACCTATACTGACGAAATCAATAAAAGACAATAAAACCAATACAACTTCTTAAAGTTTGAAAGAACATTTGACAAAAAACCAATTTGTCTCTGTTAAAATTCTTTAAAGCCAAACAAGTAACACACTTTAGTGAATGAAACAAATACTGCAGAACAGACATTTTTATCTTTATCAGTATGTTACATTAACACTAAAGTCCTAAGTGAAGTACCAGTAAAATTGAAGAAAAACTTTTTTTGTGATTTTTGTGGATTTTTGTGAATTTGCCACAGTCACTGTCAGTTAGTCACTAGTGTTAGTACAGTGTTAGATCATAGTTATGAAGGGCCACTCAGCTAAACAGTTTTACAATTAGGTACTGACTGTGACATATGATGAGAAGGGAGGATTGGAGTGTTCAGTGGTCACAGGGAAAAATCAAGGGAAAGAGACGCAGAGGAAGACTAAATGTCAAGAGTTTAGGTTTATGGATGGGCATGTCCAGTGTAACAATTCTGAGATCATGCAAAAAGAGTTGTTGAGGTCTATGACAGTCAATGTCCTGCAAGTGGAATATACTTAAAAAGAGGGAGACTGGCTCTTTCATGATAGTTCATTAACAGCAATAGGGAAAAAGCATGTCATATGAATTATGATATTTGTTCATTTAATTTATAAAATATATACCTGTATTGAAAAAAGTTTTGATTTTCATGTTTCAAGTCAAAATATCTTACTGCACTCTATTTTCTTAGCCTAGTGAAAATTAAGCAGTATTTACTATGTATGTAATTGTACCTGCTGAAAGTATTTTGGTATGCAAAAACAAGGTATACATTATTTTGACATTTTATTTACAAACATTGGAAAAGAGAGCATACCACATTAATTATTCATTTCATTTATATATTTCTTTGCCAGCTCCAAGTCTAATTTTCTGTCTAAATATAATAAATATATTAATCTATTCAGTATATATAGCCAAAAGCCCCAGGCAAAATTATGCAGTTTTTGATTTATCCTGCTGAAAATATTTCACTACACTTTTTATTAGTTTCCATGACAATACTGCAAGAAGTGCATAAGCAGAAATGAGCAAACATCTAACTGCCACTTTGTAAGCAATGACATCCAGTAGAAAATACTGATACCAGTTTAAACTATAAGCTGCTTGGGAATGAAGGTGAAGAGGTCCATTGTGACGCATGGTGTAGTTGAGCCAAAATAAGAGTTCTTCTTGTCCTGGCATAGGAGTGTCTTGCAAAATTAGTGAAATCTTTTCTGCATTTTCTTTGAAAGATTTTTCATTCATGACCTTAACAATGGCATTTTCTAACTTAGTTTCAGTAAGACTTAGATAATCAAGGGAGACCCCAACTTTAACACGATCTGTTAATTTTCTGGCATTTTGGGGCTGATCCCAAAAGAGAGGAATGGCCACCACGGGCACTGCATGGTACAGGGTCTCCCACATGCTGCTTACTCCACAGTGGGTGATGAACAGTTTAGTGGCTGGGTGGGCAAGAAGATCATTCTGTGGAAACCACTTTACCAGATGTGTGTTACTACCCAGTGACTCTGGAGCTTTTCCATCATGGCGCCAAATTACCTTCTGGGGAAGCTGAGCAAAAACTCTTGCAAGCACTTCTGCTTTTTCCTCTTCCAAATGTGGCACAATAGTTCCAAAGCTTAGTAGAATAACCCCATGAGTAGCAGTTGTAACAATATCATTGTAAAACTTGGGCAGAGGTTTTGCTGGCGTCCACAGGAGTCCAGAGATAGGTTTGACATGGGGCATGACTGGTCTGGGGTAATCTAAGGCAAAATGGACATTTGCAGCAATCATAAGAGAAACCCTCTCAAATGCATGCTTCATGTGGGGAATATTTTCCTCTGGAAGATACTTTAATCTGAGCCCTTCTATATAGTCCATCTTTTCATCCAGCCAGCCTTGAATACTTTGGTCCACCTCATAATTGTGTAACCTTTCCCAAAAGTCCATATGGTCTGAGAGTCCAGTGGGAATGTTAGGCATGAATGAGTAAAATATGGGTTGATGAAAAATGTACCAAGGGTTCCAAAAGCCGTGGTTCCAGTAACCAACTGATGGCACTTTCAAATACTCATTAAGAAGAGTACCTGCTGCTATATTAAAAGGATCAAAGAAATAAAGTGAGAAGTTGGAGTTTTTCAAGTGTATCAAAGTATCCTTATCACTGAACAATGCATGGCAAAGGAAGTAATCAAGTTGGTCTGATTGTTTAAGAGAAATAACAGGGTCATCTTCGAGAGCAGTCTGAAGATCCAACACTCCACCTTTGTTGACTTCAGTTTCATCAATATGAAATCTGATCAGTTTCACATCATGTAGGTCAAGCTTTGGTTTGTAATGGTCTGCAACCAGCATGGTAATCTCGTGCCCATGGTCTCGCAGCAAGATGGCAATCTTTTCCATATTGAATGTTCTTGAATTGAATACATGGGTGAGTGGAAAAACAAATATCTTTGCACCCTCACAAACACTTGTCAAAATAGGCATCCACAGTAAATAAAATGCAAGCATTTTAAAAGTTGTCTAGCTTATGGAACAGCTAGTGCATAACCTAGAAAAGCTTACAGCTTAAGATTAAGGTCACAGGCTGATAAGAATGTTTTGGGTCAGACTCATACCCAGTTACTATGCAGTGTTACCTCTGGGCTGTGCCATTGCACCATTCACACAATGAAGACAGTGATGTCCCTTATTTTGACTATTTTGAGGCATTCAGTGCCACTAAGGGCACACAATAACAAAAATACTCACAATAGCACTCAACATATGCCCCAAATGGAGCTATATTGTTTACTTGGCATGTGTACTTATATGTTCTAAGACGCCTGTGGGGGTACATACAGCCCGTTGTGGCCAGTGCTGAATGGCCCGTTTTGTGAAGTGCACTTTAAATGATTGTCACTAGCATTCTTTCAAATACACATAGTGGTTTTGATATTTGCTTTTTTGTGTTTAAAGAACTCATATAACTCCTTCTTAAGGAACATGTGTAACTTGTAGCTTTTGTTGTTTTTAATGAATAAACTAGATTGAAAAATTCAATATCAAAAGTTTTGGAATAAAAATGTTTTAATCAGTTTCACAATAACTAACTAATACTAATTTGGCCATTTTGCTAAAATAAAAGTATTTGACTACAAATCAACTTATTTTTAAAATTCTAAATCTTTGAAATGAATTTATGACCAATTGACATTAACTATAAGCATGTTAGTACCCACCACTAAAAATGGTGAGCATCCTGGGGAGGGAGGGTGAGGTGGTGAAGGTTTCTGTATCCCTAAAACTTCTAAACAGAGCGCCCACTTTCTCCCAGTTTTCAGAACCCAGAAGTACATCGAACGATGACTGTGAATTCAAAATGGCACCTCTTAAAACTCTTGTCGGTCCTGTGGACCGACCAAGTCCAATTTTTTACCGGTCCAGACAAATTTTGCTGGTCATGACCAATCGGACCGACAGTTTCAGCATGTCTGTAAAGTACACACCAAATTTGTTTTGTTCTGGACAATCAGCAGGGTATTCTAGTAGAGCATCTTACTTCACCACTAACACAAGTTCATTTATCTTTTTGAAAGGAAAAATCCTACCCAAGTTTGATGGCATGAGAACTAAGGTGTGCCTGTTAGAAACACAAAAACAAAGAACTCAACTGAGCAGAAGCTACAGTTGATGGAAGATAAATATTTATATATGGAAGAGAAAAGTTCTTTAAAATTTGCTACCTTTTATAAATTACAACATTACTTTCATCATAACTAAACAGCTTTTAATTCAGAGACTAGCTTTTTATTCATTCATTAACAATGTTGAATGGCTATTATTCACCTGCTCTTTCATTTTAACTTGCTGTTTTCAATCACTTTGAACATGTTAAATCACTAAAAATGTCAAAATTTGATAAAAGAAATGTCATTAAGGTAAAAGATGAAATTATGCAAAGGCATATACTGTATGGAAATTTTATAAAAGCAACAAGGAAAAGCATTTGTCTCTTTTGAAGAATGAAAAGTTATTTAACTAGAAACCAATTAACCTCTAAGTCACAATGTAGGCTCTGTTAAAATTCTTTGTGGCCAAACAAGAAGCATTACCAAAATGAAATTAAACAAATATTGCCGACCCAAAAGAAAGGAAGGGTGCAGGTAAGGTTAGTTGATTAACACATTTCTGGCACTGACTATATTTTGTGACTCTCATAAACAACTACAGGAAAAGACATTATACCTCATGAACAACATTATTATTAGTTTTTTATATGATATTTCCCAGTCATTAAAGTTCCAAATGTAATTTTTCTGCCAAAATATCTTCAAAACAATATTACTCTATTTTGAGAATAAAGACACAAAAACTTCCTAAATTAGGCTGCTTTTGATTTAACATGCTTACTAGTAAAATATTTCAGCATGCTTCTCATTAGTTTCCACAAAACTACTACAAGAAAAACATAAG